CAATTCCTCTACTTGGTATTTACCCACAAGAAATATGAGCCATAACATGAGTAGATATATGCATACCAATGTTCATAGCAGCACTATTTACAATAGCAAAAAGATGGAGACAGTCAAAGTACCCATCAACTGAAGAATGGATAAACAAACTGTGGTACATACATACAATGGAATTGTATGCTACCTTGAAGAATAACAAGGAAGCCACCACATAACATGGATGAACCTTGAGGACATTATGTTAAGTGAAATTAGTCAGTCAGAAAAGGACAATACTGCATAGGACCACTGCTGTAAAAGACTAAGAAAAAGAACCCATACTAAAAGGGGGGAGATTCTTTGCTGGTTGATTGAATGTGGGGGTGGGGTGAGAAGAGGGAGGGGAAGGTGGAGCACAGGGCAGGGAATACACATAGGATAGTTTGGGTGCTAGGGAGTGGGGGCAATACACAAGAAGGGGGAGGGGAATGGAAAAACAAGGCGGATGGGAGAGCAATTAGGTTTGCATGGACTAAGTGGGACAGAGGTAAAGAATTATGTATGCACAACCTTGGAACAACAGAACTCTGGGATACAAGCATTGAGACATGGTTGGAATGGGCAAAAGGGGGAAATAATGTTAAGATACTTGGCTGTCTTTTGAATCTTGGTTTCCCTGGCATACCTTTATAAAATTGACACTGGAGGGGGTAGAGAAAGAAATTGCCAGAAATATCACCATAGAAAGCTTGTAAGTCCATCTTCTGCCTATAACTGATTGAAATAAGTAAAATGGGGCTACAACTTGCCCAGTGAAGGAGGCTTCCTGTGCATTATGTAAGACTATAGGTGGAATCCTGAACAGTATCCAGAATCTTCAGAGGTGGGGAATTTCCACTTGAAAGGAAAAGCAGACCAGCCTGGAGTGGCTAGAAGAACAGAAGATACTTCTTGAAAGGAAGACTGACAGGAAAAATACAAGACAATATAGGCAGACCGACTGATTTCTACAAGAACAAGCAAGTTGCTTGCCCAGGTTATATCAAGGCAAGTGGTCAGGTCCCCTAAGAGCAAAACCCTGTTCCAAGACTAAGACAATGGGAATACACGCTCTGATTAGTGACCACGTTTGTCACCGATAAGGGGAAGTAAGGGAAAAACAGCAATGAAGCTGCGAGCTAAGCCCTACAATGTTCAATAGACTCCTGTGAACCCTGGTAGACACCTGGTCAGCCAGCAATGTGGCAAGACCTGGGGACTCTAGGGCCCAGAGTCAGTGACATAGCCACAGAGGACTAGAATGGAGAGTGAAGCGTCCAGCTGATTAGAAGAGAGGACATATGCATGAGAACACCCACACTTGCAGATAATACCCACTTGACCTGGCTTCAGTGACTGGATGATCAGAGCTCAACTAGAAGAAGAAAGAAGAAAAATAGAGTAATCTGATACAATTTGATGAACTTGACCTACACCTATGGATGCAGTAGCTCAAAAGAGTGAATATTTACAGCAAGGATCATTCTCTCCCCCTACATACACAGGGTAGACAGCGATGGGTAACTTGAACATTGGCTACCCAAAGAGGAGGGGGCTACGAAGGCAAGAAGTGACTGGCTTACAAGATTTCAAGAGGTAACCTATACCGTTAGGGCACGGAGGAAGGTAGAATCTCCACTGAGTAGTATCCAATGTGTCTAGTCGGGGATGATGAAAGGAAATGCAGATAGGTCTCTTGTGATACAATAGTGAATAATTGTTATCAGGACTGATTGTGAGGGTTGGAAATGTAAAGGTAGATGTTTTGTATCAAGGAAGGGAGTGATTAACTTTGCAGTCTAGGAACGGAGGTCCCTGGGATCATCAAGGGAGAAGAGCAGAGAGTGGGATCCTACCCAGAGAAGCAGTGACTCCAGAGATGGAGGTAGAGACGATGATGTGGAGAGATGGAGCAGCTGGGGACTTTAGACCCAGAGAGGGAGAGGGCCTGTGTGCTGAGGACCAGGGGGCAGGCTTGCAGGATATACCCTTTGGTTTGTTGATGATGCACGGAGGGGATTGTAACCATGGCAATGAAATTATATACAATAGGGTTAATGTAAAACTAATGTTCTCCCATGTAAACTATCACATAATTCACAATAAAACATTAAAAAAATATATTTCATTTTACTTGGATCTACTATCAACACTCAGGAAAGCAGCAGTCAAGAAAATCAAATGACATACTGCATGAGGCAAATTTGCTGCACAAGACCTCTCTCAAGTGTTATAGAGCAAAGATTTCAGTTTGAGGACCAAGGTCTGCCTGATCCAAGTCATGGTATTTTCAACAGCTTTATATACATGTGCAATTTGGACAATAAGTAAGGAATACCATAGAATAATTAATGTATTTGAGTTATGCTGTTGGAGAAGAATCTTAAAAGTATCATAGAGTGCCAGAAAACCAAAGAAATCTGTGTTGGAAGAAGTACAGCTAGAATCCTTAGCCAGGATGGCAAGATTTTGTCTTCATATTTCAGACATATTATCAGGTGGGATAGTCCCTGGAGAAGGACATCATGCCTGGTTATGTAAAAATTTGGAAGACCCCCAGTGAGATGGATTGGCACAGTGGCAGTAGCAATGGGTTCAGGTGTAACGATTGTGAGGATGGTGCAAGACCTGGCAGTGTTGTATTATGCATACATGAGGCAGAACCTACTGGTGATACCTAAAAAAAAACAACTTTTCCATATGAAAGTTGGACATTGAATGAGGAAGACCACAGGTGAATCAATGTATTTGAATTATGGTATTGGAGAAGAATATTGAAAGTACTGTACATGACCAGAAAAACAAATCTGTCTTAAAAGAAGAGAAGCCCGAATGTTATTTAGAAGCAAGAATAGTAAGACTGGTAGCTTGTGCTTTGGATATTTTTGTCAGATGTGATCAATCTCTGGAGAAGGAAATCATACTTGCTAAAATGGAGGGTCTGCAAAAAAGAGAAGGACGTCCCTCCCCCCCAATGAAATGTAGTGACACAGTTGGTGGCAACAGTGGACTCAAACATAACAACTGTGAGGATGGTATAGGACCAGACACCAGACAGTGTTTTGTTCTGTGGTGCATAGGATCTTTATGAGTTGGAACCAACTTGATGGTACCTAGTGATGCTACAGGATGATGCACTGGACCGCAAGATTAGTTTGAACTGCAAAGTTGGCAGTTCAAGCCCACAAACTGCTCCTTGGAAACCTATACAGGGTCAGAACTGACTCAACGGCACTTAACAACAACAAAAGGATTATTTTGCTTACACCTTTGATTCCCAAGAATCTCACTGTAGTAAATTTATCATTATTTAAACTGTAATAGTAAGGAGCTCTGGTAGTGTAGTGGTTACGAATCGGGCTGTGAGCCGCAAGGTCAGCAGTTCGAAATTACCAGCGGTTCCATGGGAGAAAGATGAGGCTGTCTGCTCCCATAAAGATTTACAGCCTAGGAAACCCTGCGTAGGGTCGCTATGAGTCGGAACCGACTCCACGGCACTTAACAACAACAACAAACTGTAATAGTATAATAGGAAGGAGCTCTGGTAGCGTAGTGGTTACGAATCGGGCTGTGAACCTTAAGGTCATTAGTTCAAAACTACCAGCTGGTCTGCAGGAGAAAGATGAGGCATTCTGCTTCCATAAAGATTTATAGCCTCGGAAACCCAGTACAGGGTCGCTATGGGTCGGAACCGACTCTATGGCACTTAACAACAACAACAACAGTATAATAGGAAAGGAGTTCTGGTAGCGTAGTGATTACGAATCGGACTGCAAACCTCAAGTCAGCAGTTCAAAACTACCAGCTGTTCCATGGAAGAAAGATGAGGCTTTCTGCTCCCGTAATGATTTATGGCCTCGGAAACCCTTTACAGCGTCACTGTGAGTCGGAACCGACTCCATGGCACATAACCACCACCACCAGTATAATAGGAAGCTACTCAATTGCAGTGGATTTTGATAATAATAAAAGATTCAGCATGACAGTATAAACAATATTGATGTGTTTGTTTTGTTTTGTAAACAGATTTCTGACTTAATGTGTTAGAAAGCAAAAGCTGTACAGATTTTCATAGTTCCGTCTGGGAAAGTTTTCAATTTCATATAATTATTTCTTATTCATTTAATTTTACTGGGAATTAATATCTTTCCTCTGAGCTTACATTTCTTCAAACAAGTGGTCAGCAAACTTTTTCTGTACGGTACCAGATAATGAATATTTTAAGCTTTGTAGGTCATACAGTTTCTGCTGCATATTCTTATTTATTTATTTATTTTAAATTTATTTATGTAAAAACCATTCTTGTGGGCTGTACAGAAACAGGGCAGAATAATTTGTCAACTCTTAATATTTATAGCCCAAACTATAGGTGATAATTCTCTTTCTTACAAGATGTTTTTTCTTCTTTTAGGAAACAATGCCTCCACCAACACATACTGCATTTTCTGGGCACCATCTGCCATTTGTTGGTTTTACATATACTAGTAGCTGGTAAGTTTCAAATGTTAAATAATTTAGACAATTTAAATCAAATTTGAATTAATTTAAGTTGTAAAAATATATAATGTTTAAAACAGCTTTGTAAATTAAAAAAAATTTTTTTTTAATGATCCTACTGGGAAAAGTTGGAGTCCTGGTGTGGCACTATAGGGTAAGCACTGGACTGCTAACTGAAAGGTCAGCAGTTCAAACCTGCCAATCATTCTTTGGCTCTATATACAGGGTCGCTGAGTCAGGACCAACTTGACGACACTTAATAACAACTGGGAAAAGTTAGATAATGCAAAATTAATAAAACACAAAACTTTAGCTCATTGTGGAAGGGAAAGAATAGAAAAACGTAGAGAACTCATAATCATAGCATTGGAGCAGTAGATTCCAGTGCTAACCAAAAGGGTTGTGGTTCAAACCTACCAGCTCCTCCCTGGAAGAAAGATGTGACTGTCTCTCTCATAAGGATTTACAACTTTGGAAACCCTATATAGAGCTGCTCTGTGTCAGAATTGGCTGATGTAGTAGGTTTTATTTTGTTTTTGTGCTATTGATAAATATTCTCTAGATGTCAATCAATAGAACTTTCAACCATCAGCCCTACCATCTTTCGGCTGACTATTCATAATGCTCTCATTCTGTTGTTGTTAAGTGTCTTCAAGTTGGTTTCAACTCATAGCAACTCTGTATAGAGTTTCCAAGGAGTAACTGGTGAGCGTGAACTGCCGATCTTGCAATTCAAAGTGCATTGCAGTCAGTGCCATTTACCTACAGCACCACACCAGGACTACCATTCCTACTTACTCCATTGAATATAATTATAATCCTTCCTGTGATGGTCGTCGTGGTTGTGTGCCATGGAATTGGTTGCAACTCATTGTGACCCTGTACAGGGTTTCCAAGGCTATAAATTTTTACAGGAGCCGAAAGCCTCATCTTCTGTGGAACAACTGGTAGTTTCGAACTGCTGACCTTGCGATTCACAGCCCAATTCATAACCACTACGGTACCAGAGCTCCTTAATTCCTTCCAGCATTTTCATCCTGTTCTGTTTGTTTTGCTAACCCACATCATTGTCATTGAGTCTATTCTGATATATGGTAACCCTACAGAGCAGAATAGAACTGCCCCACAGGGTTTCCAAGCCTGTAAATCTTTACAGAAGCGGACTAGCATATTTTTCTCTGTGAGCCAACTAGTAGGTTCAAGCCACCAACTTTTCCATGGTGTGCCACCAGGGCTTGCTTTGCTAGGTCAATATTTATTAAAACCAGTTCTCTGCATAGATGAGATGAGAAAAGTTCTAGTCTTTCTTAACTTTGAATTCATTGTCATCAACCTCAAGTGTGCCTTTTGCTGCCTGGTAATAAGGTAATAAATAGAAAAAAAAATACTACACTGAATTAAAGTACTTCACTATTGTATTCAAAGTCTGGTAAAGACTATGAATGGTGGATTTGACTATGATTTCACTTAGGTGGTCAAAGTGTTTTAAACTTTCAGTAACCCATCAGGAAACTTTGTTTCATAATTTATGATTTTTTTTTAAAAGTTCAAAATTGGGGATTTAAATTTTTGTATTAAAAAATGCATCTATTGGCGGATCGGGTGGACGTATAGCAGAGAGCTTCGCCAACAACAACACAGAATACCCGACCAAGCAGGTTCAGGGGATGGTCCCAGAACTCTGAACCACATATAAAGGAATACTTAGAAGGTTGGAAGGCTCACAGCTGGGGGAATTTGTGGCAGAAGCAAGAAAT